AATGTTAAAGTTGGTTATAATAGTTCATAAACTTAATAAATATCTTTAAAAAAACCCAATAAAACCCAGATTTTCCAGGGTTTATTGGGTTTTTTTAGGCGGGTTTTTTTGGGTTTTATTGGGCGGGTTTTATTGGGCGGGTTTTTTAATGCCAACCCTGCAACAACTCTATCTGACATTACATCATCTTAGTCATGAAGTTGTTTGATAGACAATATAGACATAGATTTATCATCTCTTTTTATGGGTTTCTGAATAGACCACATAACCATATTTTTATGGGTTTCTGAATAGACTATATTATATATTTTTATAATATTTTCTCTAGATAATTTAATTTGTATAAAACATAACAAACTGTTGCATTAGGTAATCTTTCTTTAGCCTCACTAAACATTCCCATTAACTCTTCACTATTTATATCGTGAAGCCTTGCACATGCTACTTCCTCCTTGAGAGTCTGGTTAATAGAAAGTGAGAAATATCTCTTACATTGATGAGTTATGACGTCTCCCACTGGAATAAGACAAGCAAAAGTCATATTGATAAAGTGTTCATCAATCAAACAAAACATTTTTTATTGGATCTAAAATATTTGGTTCAAGGTCATTTTAAAAAGTGAATCTGGATTTGATTTAGAATCTGCAATTTTTAGTAAAATTTTTTTAATACCAGGAATCCACTATAATGGTCAAAATTTGCCTCCTCAACAGTCACACAAAACTTTGTCATCCAGTCTGGAAACTGGATGACAAAGTTTTATGTGACTTTGAGGAGGTGGTTTTCCAAATAATGCAAGAACACATTTTTTCTTTAGAGCTGTTTTGTTACAAAATACAGCTCTTAGAACTTTTTGTATAGTTAAAAAATGCTGAAACTCTTTTAATTTTTAATAAAAATAAAACAAGTATGAAAAAAAATATGAAGACGATTTCCTTGATACCTTGGAATGATACCTCGTAGTAGTTTTTGATCAGCTAAAAACTAACAATTCTTTTTAAATCACCTTTGCCATGTTTAAACCTCAACTTGTTCATAGCCAAATCTATTTTAAGTGCCATACAATTATACCCAGCCATGAGGTAGCAATTATATCAAGAGCGTGTAAATGACAGTTTAGTTCATTCAAACTTTCCCCTTAAATTTCACACAGTTTGCTTACGGTAAGATGGTTAATTGCAACTTTGCCTGACATTGCGTTTGATATATTTGAGATGATCAATTGATCACTATCATTAAAAGATGCTAAATGAAAATCTAAATAAAAGTTAGATGATCAACTGCTTTACATATATGCAAGCAAATATTTGTAACTAGCTATAAGGATTTTATTTGCCTTAATATTATGTACAACTTTAACTTATTTTAGCTTTTAAAGTTCTGAAATTTTCATTGCCTTTTTTTTAAGCTTTAAGACTGCGTGTTATCTTACTGTAATAATATGTTTGCAAATTTTGTTTAAGATCTCTAAGTTCAGCTCTTAAAACTTTAACAACTTGTTTCTTTTATGTAATTTTTGTCTCAGTACTTTCAACTTGTATGCCGTGCTTTTTAATTTTGCCGTCACTATTACTAATTTTTTTCAATACATGCTGGATGTAACAGCAAGCTGAGAAGTTAAATAGGACAATCTGGTATTCAAACCTTTTTTTTCTAGGGCTTTTTTCTCCTCTTGTTTCATGCCTATTCATTGTTAACAGAATGTTTGGAAAATAAAGGCTTGTGATTTAGTGGTGATAAATTACTTATGTGCTCAAGTGGTGAATTATCTAAAGTACTTAAAACAGTAGTAAGAGAACTACTTGGAGGGACATGAGAACTACTTGGACAGACGATAGAAAGACGGGCAAGATTTGTTCAATGCATATACAGGGTTCATTACAAAATTCCTTAAAACGATTACTATCCCTTGTAAAGTTGCAAAACCAACTTTTGCATCTTTTCAAAACCCTAAAGAAATGTGGTTTACAAATATTTAAACTAAATAACAGTTATAACAAATGACTTAACACTGTTAATGAATAAAAAGGTACATGTCTATTTTTACAACAATTGCAAGTTTTAACAGGTAAAAAGAAGTGTGTATTTAAACACTCTTTAACTGTACTAAGAACAAAAAATAAAGTTGCTTTTTGTGTCCTTTGCCGGGGCACAAAAAGCAACTTTATTTACAAAAAAAATGTAAAGAAAGTCTTGAATAACTACCGAATAATAATATAACATTAAATTATAAACAATATTATACTTTTATTATTAAAAACATTTTTAATAATACTGTATTATTGCGTAATTAAAAAATACAATTTATACACACAGACAAAAATGCTAATATATACTGACATCATAAAACATGTGATAATATAAAGAAAATTTAAAAGATACATTGCAAATGTTTACATAAAAAGGGAAAACTGTTTTTAAAATACCATCATACCTATAGCTAGAATTATAGTAATCAACGCTTATGTTTTCAATTTCAATGAAACCAATAAAATTTTAGAAACTATAAACAAGTCACACTAAAATAAATAGTAATTTTCACTTTTAAAATAAAATAAACTAGTAAAAATATACAAACTAATATTAATTAATATAAAAAATCTAATAAACTACTGAAAAAATAAGAAAAAGAAAAAAAGCAGTCTATATCTAATTGTATTAATATATATATATATATATATATATATATATATATATATATATATATATATATATATATATATATATATATATATATACATATATATATATATATATATATATATATATATATATATATATATACATATATATATATATATATATATATATATATATATATATATTATATATATATATATATATATATATATATATATATATATATATACATATAATATATATATATATATATATATATATTATTACTATATATATATATATATTATTATATATGTAATATATATATATATATATATATACTTTTTGCAGTAATTTATTAGATTTTTTATATTAATTAATATTAGTTTGTATATTTTCACTAATTTATTTTATTTAAAAAAAAAATTATATATATATATATATATATTATACATATAACATAAATAACTACTAAACTAACCAAATAAAATTCAACTTGTTCGTACCCCTCTTACCACCCACTTACGGAAATCAGAAAAACAGAAATGGGGTACCAAAACTGCTCACTTTTATAGACTATCTGCTCAATAATATTTTTCAATGAAATTTGGTAGGTAGATAAAAAATATATGTAAAAAACTATCTGGGTAGATTTGCAAACTATCTGAGCATTTCTTTGACAATAATTTAATGTGAGAACAACAACCAAGTTTTTAATACAAATAAAAGCAATACAAAAATTACCAACCACACATAAATGTTATATATTAATCAAGTTTAACTATTCTTTTTTTCAAAAATAATCTAAGTTTAGTAATGTTTCTAAACAGAAACGCCACAAAAAAACGTTCGCCTGACGTTACCTAAAAAAAAGTTCAAAAAACCTCGCACAAAATTTTAGTACAAAATTCGGTTCCGTAAAACACGGATTTCCGCGTACCTACTAATAGGTTATATTTTTTTGCGTGCTCTTTACTAATGTTAAAATAAACTAGTTTCTAATTAATTTAACTAAAAATTTTTATCCTATTTAATCAAATTTTTTACAAAAAAAAAGATTTAATGACAAACAAACTTACTGTTTAGAAATTACTTACTGTTAAGAAATTAAATAAAATAAACTTACTGACAAACAAACTTACTGCTTAGAGTATATTTTATTAAACAAAATATTATAAATATTTTAGAAATTTACGTAAATATGTTATACTGTTGCTATGTAAAACCAAAAATTATATTTGTATTTGAGACTTGTACATTTATTTTTATATAAAAAAAGATATAAAAGTTCGTTACGAAAATTTCTAAATTTGTAATAAATAAATACGCCGCCATCTTGGGAGGCCAAAACTGGCTTCAAAAAATTTGCCGTATACGCTATCCAGTTATATTTTGAGATCAGTGATTCCACCCTAAAGGTGAGTTTCCACTCGTCCGTTTTTTCATGGGAACGGGATAGGAAAGGGAAAAATAATCACGTGAGCATGCGTAGTTTTTCTTCTGACATATTAAAACTTATACTACGCATGCCCACGTGATTATTTTTCCCGTTCCCGTGAAAAAACGGATGAGTGGAAACTCGCCTTAAGGCATAGAACAAACTCGTAAAAAAAAAGCCGAGAATTTAAAACAAATTCGATTGGTTGTTAGTGGGAAACCAAAAAACTTTTTATTTATTGGTATTTAATTTATGCAAACAAAGAAAGTAATTTGTTGATAAAGTTTACCGCCTCTGTTTTTTAATTGTTTACGCAATAATTTATTACTTCAAGATGGCCGAATAAGTCTTAAAAAAAGATACTAAAAAACATTTTTGGTAGAAAAATTAACACTACCATATGTTATCTAAATCTATCATGACATCATTGTTAAACATACTCATTTAGGTGTGGTATTGAAAATAGTAACTTCAATTTTCATAAAAAAATGGTTTTTCATGGATAATTTTCCCAAATAATGTCTGATTAAAAATGTCAAGATACATTCATTGAAAACAAACACCAATACGTGCTTTTATGAAAAAATCAAATTCATAGATTTATCTATAGCTAAGACCCAAGGTACTTTATGTTAAAAATTGCATCTTTTCTAAATAAAACTACGCTTGACGATTTGTTATAGTCGCATTAATTTTACCAGATTATAATAGTGGTTAAAATAATCTTTTCATACATACCAAATATGTCATACTTTTTGATGAAAAAACTTACATATAATGTAATTGAAAAAACTTAAACTTTTGTTCGGAAAAACGTGTACCAGGCCTTAGTTTCATTGAGTAGGCGTACGATTACACCATTGGAATTCGGGATTGGTAGTTTATGAAAATTTTTTTGAATGTAATTTATCAAAAGTTTTATGGTAAGTGTGAACAAGAAATTTACTACAATAAAATGATTCGGCGTAGAAAAACTGAATATAGCGTGTAGCAAGTGCCTGTATAGCTTCGAAGTGTTGTTGAACGGTATCTCTTTACGATTTACACATAATTTGGCAAAATGGTTCACAAAGTAGCAAAAAAAGAGGAGTTTGATTCTATCATAAAAAGTCACGAACGAGTTGCTGTTGACTTTACTGCAACTTGGTGTGGACCATGCCAGATGATAGGACCAAAGTTTGAGGTAATTAATTGTGTAATAAATAGTATTAATTCGAATGAGGGTGACTGCCAGATCAGGGAAAAATCACATAATTCAAATATCTGCAAAAAAATCAGGGAATAATCAGGGATATTGGCTTAAATTTAGGAAAAATCAGGGAAAATTGCTCTTCACAATCTGCATCAAACGTAAAGTCATGCATTGTACACATAATATAAAATTTTATTTTGCAGATAGTTTAAGAACTTTTTTTGATATTTTAAATGTGCATTGTATCAGTTTTTTTTTGCCATCGAAGAGTGTTTTTTTAAAAGAATAGTCTACTTTTTGTGAAGTTGTATTTATCACATAAAATTTTTAATTTGATTGAATACTAGATTTTTATATATCTTTAAAAAAGCTCTGATACTTTAAAGATATATAAAAATCTATATATTTTAAAGGTTAAAAAGTTATGAAAATTTAACAACTCTACAAAAAATTATAAGAATTAAAAAAAAAAAAATTTGATATATAGATTAGTTACAGAAACTGTGGTGAAAACTTTTTTTCTTAACGTAAATTGTTTTAACTTTGTCATTTCTTATCAAAACAACAACAACTTGGTATCAAAAGAAAGGTGTAAGAGTGAACTACAAATTTATAATAGTCTTTAGCAACAAAACATATTTAGGAGACTAGAGGAGACACCAAACCACCATCTATACAGTCAAAATTGTGTTCTGTTTATTGATCTCTATTATTTATTATATTTGTTAATGATATTTCTAATTTAATTCTTTCAAATGCAGTACTTTTTGTTGACGATGCAATAATATTTTACTTCAAAATGATATTGATATCTTGGTTGACTGGGCAACTAAATGGGGAATGAAATTTAATATAGATAAATGTTCAGTTCTACACATAGGCTACAAAAATAAACATGTTTATACTATGTACAATCCAGAAAAGAAAATTAATCAGAAGAGTATCTAAATTAGTTCATGGATTACACAATCTTACAAATCAATAAAGACTCTTAAAATTTAATATGACAATAATGAGATACAGACTAATCTGTGCAGATTTAATAAACGTCTATAAATGGCTGAACAACTGCTATAATTGTCAAACAATCTTTCCAAAAACCATTGTCAGCTCTATTACAAGAGGATGTTTATTTAAGCAAGAGAAATCTTTATGTTGTTTAGCTTCGCCTTAAAACTTTTTCCCTTTACAAGTAGTCAACAAATGGAACTACCTCCCAGATGACGTAAATGCATCATCCTTGAGTAAAAAACTTGACAAGTACCTAATAGAAGAAATAGTCATTTATGGTTAAAGATTAGAAAACATATCACATACACAGCCCTTGGAGTTAGGGTCAGTATTCGCAATGCTGACCTTACTGCCGACCAAAAAGTGTTTAAGGTTGAAAAAAATATTGGCCTAACTCAAAGCTTCTTAAACTAAGAGTTTTGGCCCAAAACAGGGTTGCTTAGCAAAATATTGGGATTTTTGTGTTTTCTTGCCAATAGTTCGCTTAGCGAACTATTGGCAAAAAAACACACAAATCAACATTTTAATGTAAAATTTTTAATGCATAAACTTGTATAATAGTGTATTTTTTCATATGTATATATGTTATTACCTAATAAATAAATACTTGCAAAATTTTTATTTTGTATTTACCTTGGGTTGAAAAATCTTTCAATCATAAATGGTGGCGTGAAATATAAAGTTTAACAAGCTCTGACCTTTATTTATTTTGTGTGTGTGTGTTAAAAGAACACAGAGGAACATAGGAATTTATTTTTTCAAGTTTTAAATAAATTTTAAAAAATTTAAGGAAGTAACAAAATATTTTACTTAAATCTGATATATTTTTTAAAATAAAATCTAAAATAAAATATTTCAACTATTTCTTAATGTTAAATAAACTATTCAAAGTTTTCGTATTTATTTCAATTTATAAATCTTTATTTTAGAAATTAGCTGAGAAATACAGTTCAATAAAGTTTATCAAAGTAGATGTAGATGAAAATAGTGAAACTTCAGAAGCTCATGGAATATCTGCAATGCCAACCTTTAAGTTCTTCAAAAATGGACTTGAAGTCGATAAGTTAGTAGGAGCCAATGAAGGAGAACTTGATAAAAGACTTCTAAACTTAGCGTCTTTATAATTTCTTAAAAAATACTTTTTTGAACTAGTTTTTTTTTTTTATAGCATATCTCTAATAGTCCATCAAGTAAACATCGTCCTGAGAAATATTTATTGAGTAGTTATTTGTGCACTCTTAGGTGCCTAATATACGAGCAATGACGCCTCACAATTTTTTCCCAGCTTATTAATTATTCCTAATAATTTTTTGGTTATTTCCCACCCCCTCCCTTAATAACTTTTTAATGGAATGTATTTTCTACGTTAAAAATTAGGTTCGTGCAAGGTTGCAAGCAACCACTATGAGAGTAGGAAGTTACTGGATGAGAAAAGATGAGCAAGGGGCCATCCATAAAATACGTACGCAGGTATGGGGATAGAGGGTTATCCGAAAGCGCGTACAAGAGGGGAGGGGGTGTTGAAGACAGTGAGTACGTGCGTGGTTTGACTCTTCTAACTGATTTTACTTTTTTATTTTTATTAAAACATCTAATTTCACGTGTGTAACAAATCAGTAATTTTTTTTTTCTGAATTTTTTATTTTTATTTCCTTTATAAATAATATTGAGAAAAAAAAAGAAATCGTGCGACAAATAATATTGTTTATTATTCGTATCGTAATTTGATTGGCAGGTAGGTGAGAAGTAAAAATCGTCAAAAGCAAAGTTTTTTCCAATTAATTCAAATCCTTTTCTTAAATTACTGTACGCAAACTTCTTTAGCATTTCTTTTAAAGTGTTAAAATATGTTGTTACATTATAAGACTTAAATAAGTACATTAAGTAAATTTTAAGTTATAATTAAGTACAGAGAAATGTCAAATAAACAAAATGTGTTTTTCTTTTTGTTTTCTGTTTCAAAATATTTACGCGTTGGGAAAAAGGAAGTAGGAGGAGGGATTATCTTAATTTGTACGTACGCAGAGGAGGAGGGGGGCTTTTACAGCGTACAGGGTCGTACAAGGTCCTAACTCTGGTTTTACTGCGTACGCACTTTATGAATGCATCCTAAATAAATTTCAAATTATTTGAATCAGAAAAGCAAGATAAAGAAAGCGAATTCCAAAGAAATGAGGATAAAAATAGACAAGTAAAGGTGAGTTTCCACTCTTCCGTTTTTTTTACGGGAACGGGATAGAAAAAGGAGATATAATCACGTGAGCATGCGCAGTTTTCCTTTGGACATTAAAACTTATACTACGCATGCCCACGTGATTATTTTTTTCTTCCTGTTCCCGTGAAAAAACATGAGTAAAAACTCGCCTTAAGAGTTTTTGGGGCACTTAGGAACAATTAGAGTATAATGATGGATTTTATTGAACGACGAGTTACACGAGAATGAATTTTAGTAGATGGACCAAAAAACGCTAGCTACTTAGAGCAGTGCTCATTATAGTACTAGTAGAAAAGCGAAAGAGAAACAACGTTACGACTATGTGATAATGGTTGGAGGTTAGCTGCAGGAGCAGGTCAGACTGTACTGCAAGAGCAGGTCTGACTCCAACAGTATTCCATACAAGGACGGATTTGAGATTTATAGAGGTAAAGAATAGAATCTAGAGTAAGAAAGTGTCAAGCTCAATAAAGTGATGCAACCTTAGCAGATGCTAAATTTGCAATAAATTTGATATACGGTTTCCAAGAAAGATCGGAAGTAAGAGTTAATCCTGAACATCAAGGGTAGATGACTCATCGAGTTCATTACCGTTCATAAATGAATCGCTAACTTGATAAAGAGGACATGTCCTGTAAAAATTCGCATAACATGTCCCTTTTTTAAGTTAGCGATTCAAATATAGAAAAATTTAAATTAATGCAATAACAATTGGCTGAAAAAAAATTTAGTTTTATCTGAGTTAAAGTTCACCAACCGCCGCAGAAGTGAGACCCTTTTCAAGCTTAGATGCTCTCTCTAAGCTGTCAGAGAGTGTTGGCTTTTGAAAGTATGGATGACAGTTTCAGAGAACACTTCTGCAAGACTACAACAGATATGTTGTCTGGACCACAAGCTATAGAAAAGTCTAAGCAGGAAATCACTTTAGATGCAGAAGGTGGAGTGATACGAATGTCAAGCAATGGATCAATCTGTTTGACGGTTATATTAGGAAGAATGCAACTAGTGGAATAAAGAAATGATATTGATAAAAAGTTCTTACCAAACAATTCAGCTTTGTCTTTAGGTGAGGTGACAAAGTCTGAACCATACAATAGAGGTAGAATAGAAGATTTGCCCTTATTAACACTATTAAAGATTCTGCAGCAGTCACGAGAGCCTAATTTTTTTAATGAAATACGAGATTTTATGACCTGAGAATAGTTTTGGCGTTAAACAAAACCTTTTTACAATGGTTTTTAGTATTTTTTTATATATATTGTGGCAAGATAATTGTATATTTTGACAATTAAAGTACTGTAAAGTACATATCTGTTTTTATTAGAAAAAAAAATCTCTTTTTACACAAGTGAACAAATAATATAAACACGCTAATTTGTATAAAATTCAATTCAACAGAGAAGATAAGTAATATATTATCTAAAGCATGGACCAAAATCTTCGCAACGAAATAAAACTTTAGTTATAAATTCTAATAGCATAACATCTAAAATACATTGCACAATAAAAAGATATCTTAAAGAATAATTAGTTAACCAGCACCTCTGGTTAATCCATTAAAAACAAAATATTTCAGTAAGAAGACCATTTAATAGCATAACATAAAATATAAATATTTTGACCATAAAATAAATTATTTTAAAATAATCATATAAAATGCAATATTTACAGCAAGCGTGTACTTGAAGGGCATTGGCTCTATTATTTGAAATTTGAGCACGCATATTCAAGGCAGAAGCCATTAGTACAACTGCCATGACAAAGATTGTAGATTGTTAAAGGTTTAATTCATACTTTTGATCAAATATCAGTAAATGACTTTCTGTAGTATACATGATCTTAATGCTAGATGTTTTATCTGGATATAAGGAACAATCTTTAAATTAAAATAGCCTGCAATAGCTAAAAAATGTTTAAAATCCAATTTCTTCATTTAAATGACCAAATTTGGTATACATACCAAATTTGGTAAACAGAAAAAAAAAGTGTTTTTTGAGAACAGGAATTGCTCTGATTAAACCAAGGAGACTAAATATTTCAACAGGAGCGAGTGCTCTATTTGACTGTGGATATTATCAACCTCTTGTATACTAAAATTCCCTGGTCTTTTGTCTCCCTGATTTTTGAATAACATATCACAAACCAATAATCTACAAATATATGTGTTCATTTTTCATTACTGATATTTTGTATGTATTTAAATTTTCAAAAATTAAATTTGCATGAAACATTTTCTTCCTTTCTATTTTTATACGGCTGATCAGATTGTCTTAGCTGCTTTCTCACATTTTGTATCCAAGTTTTAGCAGCCGTGGCACAGTGGTAGCGCACTTGCCTCAGAAACATTAGCTTCGTGGTTCAAACTCCACCTCTGGGCAAGTTTTGCGACATCGGTTAGGAAGGAGGCGTGAACTTCCTATTAAATGCTCTTCCACGGTACTCTGTGATAAGACCGTAAAAACTTCTTGGGGCACCTAAATCAACTTAAAATTAAAAAAAAAAAAAAAAAGGTGGTGACTTTCGTTTCCAAGTTTTTCCTCAACTTAGGAGCAGACGACGAGCTGGTGCTATTTTAGGATTTTCATCTTGATAACCAAGAACAGTCAGATCAGTTTCTAAATGAAATAAATAAATAATTAAATATATAAATATATATAAATATATATATATATATATATATATATATATATATATATATATATATATATATATATATATATATATATATATATATATATATATATATATATATATATATATATATATATATATATATATATATATATATATATATATATATATATATATATTTGTAATCAATAACATGTTTTTTCTTGAAAGTTTTGTTGTAAATAACTTTTGATTGGATAAAACGGAGATAGCACATTACAATTTTAATTTTTAAACAGGATTAAGGAGGATGTCAGGTATAGTAAGTTAATTTTTTTTTTTTGCAGATTTATTTGTAAAAAATAAATATTTTATCCTTAAAAGGAAAAAAATTGATCTTACTCAATTTTTTTGATTTGTGGTGAATGAACAAAATGATTCTAACCTAGTAATGTTACCAAACATTAAATGGAATGATGTTAATGACTCGCGAGCCATCACTACCCAGCTAGCATACATACGTTGTTAAAACATTAAAACAATGTTGCGCGTTTCGTTGGCACAACATCGGCTGCCAAAGTTGTTTTTACATCATTACAAATGCGACAACTAATGTGATTTCAAATGAGACAACTAAAAACCAATGTTGATAAAACGTTTATTTAAAGTTGGAAAATGGTTAAATTTTCTACGTCGATTCAACGTTTTATTTTATACATTGGCCCAATGTTGTATTTTCAGTTGGCACAACGTTGTATTTACGTTGACTCGACGTTGAACTTTAATTGGCAAAACGTTGTATTCAATACTACTCAGAATTAAATTTTCATTAAATTCTTTTTTTTTTCAAGGTCCGCAGAGACTTGTTCGGCTCCTAAAGGAGCGTCATAACCTGCTCTACAGACCGAGAGTAAGGTGAGTTTGGGAAGAACGAAGATATGTTAGAGTGAAAAGCAGACCCAATAAGAAAAATGACGTCGAAACAACGTTGTTCTAACGTCTTTCGTATCGTTGGAAAGACGTTGGCATGATGTTGTAAATGAAACACCGAAAAAACGTCATTTTACTAACGTTATTACAACGATGTAAAATGACGTGGTGACAACGTTACATTTTAGCTAAATGACGTCGGAAAGACGTTAGAGCAACGTTAAATTTGAAGAAAAAAGACGTTATAAGGACGTTAGGCTGACGTTATATTTTAGCTAAAATGACGTTGAGCCAACGTCTTTTCTATCGTTTTTTACGCGTTGGAATAATGGCATATATGAAACATAGGTCAACGTTATATTAACAATGTTGCGAAACGTTGTAAGAAAAACGCCCTACAACGTTTTTCTATCATTTTTGATGTTATTTCTACACTGCGAAAAACAATAAAGGACAATTTTACACTGTATAACTTTGCGCTGTCAAGCTTTATTTCTTCTTATTTATTTAGGTTATACACGATTATTATATTAGTCCTGGCAAATAATTGAATACGGAAATTAAAAGACTAAAAATAAATAAACATTGCATCACGCCTATTCCAAAATTTTAAAATTATATACAATAACTTAGAATGAAACTAGTTTGATTTTTACTTTCTTTGCAAATTTCAATCATATCTCAAATAATTCGCGTATTCTTTGTTTGACACTAAAAGACAAATATATATGAAGAAACATAAAGTTAAAAACAAATCCAATTAAAAGTATTTTTAAGAACTAAATAAGAAACATTCGGAATAAACAAATAGAAATACCACAAATACCAGAAATTGCGCTAACTTTCTAATTGATGCTAACCAGAGTTTTCGAAAGATTATCGACTGTAAATCGTTTAGCAACATTATCTGAAAAAGAATAAACAATACCTCAATAAAATGCAAAACTAATGAAATTGCCTCCAAAATAATTTTAATTAAATAAATAAACAAAATTAATTTAAAACACACAATCATGAAATAATGGGAAAAAAATATGTCTAGAATTAACCTCAAAAGATATAAAATATCTTTAAGTTCAGATTTCTGGAAAGTTATTTTTTTACAAGTGTTATTTTGGCAATATATTTTTTATAACATGAATTGCATGGTAAATAAAAAAACTGAAATGGTACATTTTCACTAAGCAAAGAATCAAAAATTGTTTTTATAAATAGCTCTCTTTAAGACTAATGATTACTTTGTTAGGTGTTTTTTCTTCCAATCGGAACTACTTATATTTCACTTAAACCCTTGACCATTTTGAGCAAGTGGCATCTTCTTACCAAAAGCCAATAATTTTTTAAATAAAAAGGCAGATATATCAAGAATCGATCATTCAGAAAACTATAACAAATGAATAAGGTTATGTAAATTGTATGTTATGAATGTTGGACCATAATAATCGACAGCCTTAATAATCCAGTCATCCAAACCAATTTAATAGCATCAATGCATAACCAATGCATTGATTCTGCTAATTTAATTTGTATCTTCAGTGCATAGAGACCAGTATACAAAAGAAATTAACTGTATTGCTTTTTTTTTTTTAAAACTCCGCCTGTGATCTAGAACTTCTGTTTTTAACAAAAGCAGATGGTTTTTTACCATCTGATTTTGTTATAAGCCATGAGACTTTTCAGAAATATGATTAATTTGAACATATGACAAATCACATACCTCTGGCTCCGTTTTTTCAAAATATCAATAATTGACGGACAATCCCAAAACAAACTATATAATATAAACTAGATGATATATTATATAAAATAGATGTCAAACGGTCCTTTATTGAACAAAAAATGATGTTGCTTTTTTTGCTTAAAAATATAATTTGCCATTTGTAAAAAGTGTTAAAGCTGAAGCGAATGTGTGGAATAAAAGTTCAAAATGCAAGTCAAAATTAACCAATAAATTAAAGATAATTCAAAAACATGTTATGATAAATATAAAGTACTTATCAAGGTTTATTCAAGGTTTATTTCTATTTTAAATTTTAATCCCTTTTTAATCAAAAATAAATTTAGAAATCATAAATTATTACTTTACAAGTACTCTAATTTCCTCTTAACACTTTTACATATTTAGATTACATATATAGATTTAAAATATATTATATATATAAAAATATATTTCCTTCATATATAAAAAAATAGTTAAATAGTATTTGTTTACAAATTTAATCCGTCATTTGTAAAAAGGACAAAAGCAGCTTCACTTTTTGGATTGAAGTAAGACAACTAGTTTATATAAAATATCATTGGTTAATACAAATGTGATCAATATGGAGCATACTTTTAATATCAATGGCTAGATGTGAAAACTAAGATAAATGTAATTACAATAATTATTCAGTATTCACATGATTAGGTGTTTTGGTAACATTTATTTCCTATGCCCATGTTGCTGCATTCAGACAAGCAAATTATATAATGAAAAATGTGCAACTAAATGTTTAACTGGCCATTGAACAAGGTCAAAAATTAAAAATCAGGGCAAATATCAAAGGGTTTATTAAATGAGCACTTTTTATAGAGAGTTTAGTAAAATATAACATAGAATCACTTTCAAAAATATAAAAACTATTGGAATAGGCTTAAAGAAAAATTACTGATTAAACTTCAATAATTATCATTTTCTAATAAACTGTTTATCAAACAATTAGCCTTTCACAATATAATTGATCTTGATATCATTATACATTTATATTTGTTTATCTGTATGCACAAATATATAAACTTATATTTATATATATATATATATATATATATATATATATATATATATATATATATATATATATATATATATATATATATATATATATATATATATATATATATATATATATATGTTATATAGTAGTGTTGCGAAAGTAAAATTTACCGGAAAATTTACCGGAAAATTTTCCGGTAAATTTACCGGAAAATTTTGAAAATTTACCGCCTGGTAAATTTTAAAAATTCTTTTCACTTATTTTTTTTTTTTTTTTTTTGATTTTTTAAAGGAAAATTTACCGTTCTCTAATTAAAATTTACCGGTAAATTTACCGGTAAATTTTACCGGTAAATTTTGAATCAAATTTTACTGGAAAATTTACATCACTATTATATAGTTAATTATAACAATTTATTCATATATTGTTAATAATATTTTTAATACTTTTGACATGGATACTTTATAATATTATAAATACAAAAATTTTATAAAAATTTTGACAATTTTCATAATTCAAATTAGTATTTTTTAACTTTTAAGAAATGAACTTTTATAATAAAAATACTTCAAAATGTTCTATTGATATCATTTTTATAGCTATTTGTATAATTTTGCTAATGTGTTATATAAATATTCACATGCAATATGTATACTCATTTAAAGTAATATTAAAATAATAATTAACAAAATCTTTGCATTTATTCATAATGCCTTTAATGATTTCGCCGGTTATCCTGTTTTGCGGTTAACCAGATTTTGCTCGAATACCAAATATCTATTTTCGAATAATAAAAACCGACTTAAAAATTTTACGAAATTTTATAAAAAGTAACAACGTAATTATGACGATCATTGTTTGACAATTGTTAATTTATCAAAGATTATAATAAATTTCTTTTATTAATTTAAATGTTAATTAATTCAGTTTTGTTTGATAATATATTCTTAAAATGATTTACAATAGAAATCTCAAAGATTTATTTATTACTTTTGCAACTCATGCAATACATTTTTAAGAAAGTTTCTTCAGAATATTCTGGAACTCTAGTTGTTTTGAGAACATTCCATCTGTGTTTCCATCTATGTCCGCATAACAATAAGTTTTTAAAATACACGCTAAAAAATTTAACTTCATAATATCTCATTTTTCCAAATCAAATGTTTTTATATGAGAGAATGAGTTCAAACATCCGCTGATATTAAAACATTTAAACTATTTTGTACATTATTCCTACCTTTTTTAATTATATAATTAAAAAAATATATTATTTATATTATATTATAATATAAAAAATATATATATCTTTTTCCATGTTTTGTTATAAATATATAATATAGGACTGTATTCAATAACTGTCTTGAAAATGTTGAAATTTAGAAGATCCTGTATTCAGAAAGCGCCACTAATATACCGAATAGTCGGTTAACCGCAAATTTATGGGAACTGTTATCCGGTTTTTGAAACGGATAACCGGTGAAATCACTAAATGCCTTTAATGTTCTTAATATACATAAAACAAATAAAAATATAAATGAAGAAATACAAAAGTTACCTCTGAATTAAGTCCTTAACATATTTTGGTAACTTTCCGCCAACACGTGAGAGTTGGCCTAAAAAAGAAAAAAATATAAAAAAGGCACATTGAAGTGTTTTACACATAAGATCTTATTTAAATATTTTTTACTGCATTCACCAAGGTCAAGCCTTAAAGACCCAAGCTTATTTAATAAACAGTTAGAACTGAATAAATATTTTGCCATGATTCAATCAGAGCAATCATGGCAAACTCATAAATATAAAACATTTTTATTCACTAAATTTTGTAACGGAAATAAAATTTAAAAAAATTAGAATTATTCAATATTGCTTTTTCACAATTTTGTTAGGCTGCAACCAATCTAAAATGATTAAAAATATTTATAGGCTGAATAAATAGGATGACATAATTTGTAACAGCAAATGATTTAGATTCATTTTAATAAAGTGATTGTAAATTTTTTGCTGTTTCAAAAGCTGGGCGTTAAAATATATTGTCCAAGTTTTGTTCTCTAAATTATTTTAAACATATTGAAATCAAACTCACAAACTGTTGAGCAAAATCTTTGTTACCAATTCTTAGTGTAAACTCGTTCAAATATTCTATTGTTAAGTTTAAGTTTAAGATTAAATAATGTGATTATGTATATTTAAGTCGACTTGTTCTGATTTTAAACACCTCGATAACTTAGTACTTTAACTCTGCACATAAAAATTGAAGAAAAATGATATTTTTTTTTTTTTTTTTTTTTTTTAATTATAAAATAAGGTATCTGAAAGAAGATCAAAGGATCTTGTCGTCAGAACCTTAAATAAGTTCAAACAAGCATTAACAGTATCAAATTTTTACAAATTTCATATATATATAATCCAAATATATATTTTATAATCCAAAGAGAGATCACGCGGATCTACTCACTAATATTTTATATAAACGTATACGTGAAGTAAAGAATATAAAATCAGCAAAATAAGTAAGAATAAACTTTTTACAAATATAAATAAGAAAAGGCAAAGTTATTAATTTATATTATTAATAATAACATAATACGTCTTCTAATGAAAAAATAAGGGTTTTTAATTTACTTTTAAAAAAACGAAAAGGAATGGGTAGTTCGAAATCAAATGGGTAGTTCGAAATCAAACATTCAAAAAACATATATTTTAACTTGGCATGAGTTTTATTAAAATATAAGATTAATTAGTTTTTCGGTTAGAAAAATAAGAGAATAAGTAAATGATAGTACTATGACAATATATACACACACACACACACACACATATATATATATATATATATATATATATATATATATATATATATATATATATATATATATATATATTGGTACAACATATCAATTTTAAAAACTATATCATATCACATATCATATACAAAAACTACACACAAATATATTTGACATGTACTTTATTGAAATACTTCGGAGTTATTGAGTTGAGAGGGAGTTATAAACACAATTGAAACAAAAAGGAGCCTCCTCAACTGCAGCACCCTTTATGGCCTTTATGGCCAAAATCAGCTCTTTCTTTCAACTTTGAAATTAGGGAAACATGAGATTGTGATTCATTTTGAAAATTAAATACTGACTGAGTGTATATCATCTAACACTTTGTGTGTATTGATTTAAATAAATATTTTGTTTATTATGACTAAGATCTAGTGTAAAATTTAGATGTTAAATAAATTTAAATTTAGATGTAGGTATGTGGATTGAAAATTTTAAAGTGATTAAAGGTTAGATTGTTATATATCATTGGAAAGTGCTTTAATACAGTATTTTAAAGGTGAAAAAATTATTAAAATCGGATTATTCTACAAAAAGTTATGACGTTTTTAGTCGCAAATTTTTGATATATGGATTTGTTGAAGAAACTGTGGTCAAAATTTAATTTTTCTTCACTTAAACTATTATAAATTTTTCAATTCTTATCTAAATACCTATAACTTAGTATCAAAAGATAGGTGTAACTGTGGGCTACAAATTTATAACATTGTCCACCTATAAGCGTTTCCTGGGGGCTAGAGGGGGTGCCAAACCACCACCTTTACCCTAAAAATAAGCATATTTCTTTCAATAAAAAGTGTTTTTTTTCAACAAACGGTTATTTTTTTTATAAAGTTGCTATACTTTTATTCCAGACCATCAATGATTGATGTTGATTAAAGTTGGTGATGGATATGGTGGTGATGGTTTAACACACCCTAATTTCAAAAATATTTAATTCTCTAATTATAAATAAATAAATATTTCTATATTTAATAAAATAAGTGAAACTAGTACACAGTATAAAAAACATGAAATTTTTTTTTGTTACAAAAATTTCATTTATTGGTGGTGTGTTTATTGACTTGTGGGAGGAGCGTGTGCCCCCCCCCCAACCTAAAAAAATAAAATAAATAAATCTTGATAATAACAATTATAATTATTTTAAAATGAGTTAACAATTTAAAACCTGAATTAGGCTTTTTGCACCAAGTATAACCTACAAGCTAAAGATAAAGACCACAACCGAGCCTACTTTTGAAAAACAAGTCTTTTCGCTGCTATTCGTAAATTTTGGTGAAGTTGAGAAGTTTGTTAAATAGGGTGATAATGGTTACCCACAACCTACAATAAAAAGATGTTGAATTCTTAAAAATAATTGTATCTTTAACAAACAAAATAAATTAGTATATTTCATTTTTTGATATTTCATTAAATATATTTTATTTCATTACCAAAAATATCAGTGTTGTATCCTATAAAAAAATGTAACAATCAATTTTATATTGTTCTGTATTAAAACATTTTAGATATCCTAAGATTAAATAGTTTTCTTGGCTTTTAGTAAATAATTAAAATAATCAATTTCATAAATGGAACACTCTAATAATCATTTGTAACAATAGACACCACGTGAAGATAAGCCAGAGCCGCCTATCAAAATATTTTGGAAGTCACAACACTTGTGCAAAGGTCAATCCAAGTCAAATACTTTTATTCTTCTCTAAAAACATTTATAAAAAAAAGTAAAACAAAAACATATGTTTTAATAACAGGCATACCTGACTTGATATGACTATTTCTTCAAGTTTTATTACTTGCAATACCTTTATACAAGTTTCATCATATGCCGTATCTGTTTTGTAAGTTTCATCACTTGCATCTATTTTTAAAGCTTCATTAGAAGTAATATCATAATTTGTTACATATTACACTTCAAAAAAAAATCAACTCTCCTGGTCCAACATCAGCGGAAGCTGAAATTTTTTCATGTTGTAGTCAACAGCTTCAGTATCAGCATTACCTTTATTTCAGTAAGAAATCGTGTAAACTTTGTCTTGTTTTGTTTTATCAAGTTTTTCTTCTCTACCATCATACATGACATGCTTTGAATACTCACTTAGTACCATTCATGGCAAAGTTTTTGCCCAACAATTCTATCTGACATTACATCATCTTAGTCATGACATTACATCATCTTAGTCATGAAGTTGTTTGATAGACTATGTATTTAAACACTTTATTTCATTGTAAGAGAGTTAAAGCAACTGTCATTTTAACTTTCTTTTGTCTATTTCATCCATTTTTTGGCATTTGCATACATGTTTTTTTTGAAACATCTGCTCATATATCATTATGCTTCATTTGATTTATCATCCTCTTTTTATGGGTTTCTGAATAGACCAAATAACTATATTTTCATGGGTTTCTGAATAGACCACATAACTATATTTTTATGGGTTTCTGAATAGACCACATAACTATATTTTTATGGGTTTCTGAATAGACCACATAACTATATTTTTATGGGTTTCTGAATAGACCACATAAATAATTATTTATTTTTAAATATTCCTTATTTATTAGTCTTATTTATTTTTAAATATTCCTCTATTAATCTTTATTTTTGTCTTTACAATTGTCAAAATATGCTTTGTCTAATAAATAATTCTCCTTTATTCTAATGTATTTCATTTCTTCCCTCAGGCGTTCACTGCTCGTGTGTGACCATTTGGCAAATTTTATATGCCAAAGTTTTTAAATAGAAACTATATTTTCTCTAGATAATTGATTTAAACTATCTAGGTATTTAAATTTGTATGAAACATAACAAATTGTTACATTAGGGGATCTTTCTTCAGCCTCACTAAACATTCCCATTAACTCTTCACTATTTATATCGTGAAGCCTTGCACATGCTACTTCTTCCTTGAGAGTCTGGTTAATAGAAAGTGAGAAATACCTCTTACATTGATGAGTTATGACGTCTCCCACTGCAATAAGACAAGCAAAAGTCATATTGATAAAGTGTTCATCAATCAAACAAAACATTTTTTATTGGATCTAAAATATTTGGTTCAAGGTCATTTTAAAAAGTGAACCTGGATTTGATTTCAAATCTGCAATTTTTAGTAAAATATTTTTTAATACCAGGATTCCACTATAATGGTCAAAATTTGCCTCCTCAACAGTCACACAAAACTTTGACATCCAAGCTGGAAACTGGATGACAAAGTGTTATGTGACTTTGAGAAGGTGGTTTTCCAAATAATGCAAGCACACACTTTTGCTTAGCTGTTTTGTTACAAAATACTGCTCTAAAAGCTGTTTGTATAGTTCTGCATATTACTGTTCCAATGGTTAAAAAATGCTCAAACTTATTAAATGTTTTATAAAAATAAAACAAGTATGAAAAAAAATATGAAGACGATTTTTCTTGATACCTTGGAATGATACCACGTGGTAGTTTTTGATCATCTAAAAACTAACAAATCTTTCTGAACCACCTTTGCCATGTTTAAACCTCAACTTGTTCATAGCCAAAACTATTTTAAATGCCATACAATCATACCCAGCCATGAGGTAGCAATTATATCAATGGCGTGTAAATGGCAGTTTAGTTCATTTAAACTTTCCCCTTATATGTCACACAGTTTGCTTATGGTAAGATGGTTAATTGCAACTTTGCCTGACATTGCGTTTGATATATTTGAGATGATCAATTGATCACTATCATTAAAAGATGCTAAATGAAAATCTAAATGAAAGTTAGATGATCAACTGTTTTACATATATGCAAGCAAATATTCGTAACTAGCTATCAGCATTTTATTTGCCTTAATATCTTTATTATGTACAACTTTAACTTATTTTAGCTTTAAAAGTTCTGAAATTTTCATTGCCTTTTTTTTAAGCTTTAAGATTGCGCATTATCTTACTGTAATAATATGTTTGCAACTTTTGTTTAAGATCTCTAAGTTCAGCTCTCAAAACTTTAACAATTTGTTTTTTTTTTATGTAACTTTTTGTCTCAGTACTTTCAACTTGTATGCCATGCTTTTTAATTTTGCTGTCACTATTACTAATTTTTTTTAATACATGCTGGATGTAACAGCAAGCTGAGAAGTTAAATAGGACAATCTGGTATTCAAACCTTTTTTTTCTAGGGCTTTTTTCTCCTCTTGTTTCATGCCAATTCATTGTTAACAGAATGT